GGGAGCAAATTCCAAACTTTAATTACACATTGTATTAAAAAAAAAATTCCTTTGTCTGTCCTGATTCTTCCAAGATTCAATTTCATTAGCTGATCTCTGATTCTATATTTTAGGAAGAGGAAAATAGTTTCTCCATGTTCCCTTTATCCAGACAAGGTAATTTTGTACCCCTCAATCATGTCCTGTCCCTTCACCTCTTTTCTAGACTAAAAGCCCTCAAGTGTCGCAAACTTTTCTTATAGGGAAGTTACTCCAACTGCTTAATAATCCTAGAACTACACACAATATTCCAGAGGCAGTAATACTATTGATTTACATAATGGTATTGTGATATTGGCACCTCTATTTTCCATACCATTTTTATTAACATGCTGTTAGCCGTTACTGTTTTTTACAGCAGATGCTTATTGTATTGACAACTTCACTGAATGCTTCACCGTTATCCCAAGAAATCTTTTTTCTTCAGTCATTGCTACAGATTTACAGATTAACAGAGTTGGAAGGGTCCTTGTAGGTCATCTAGTCCAAACCCCCACCCAAACAGGAAACCCTACACCATTTCTGACAAATGGCACTCCAGTCTCTTCTTGAAAGCTTCCACTGATGAAGCTCACACAACTTCCAAAGGCAACTTCTGCTCCATGGGTTGATTGTACTCCCTGTCAGAAAATTTCTCTTTGTTTCCAGATTGAATCTCTCCTTGTTCATTTTCCATCCATTATTCCTTGTCTGGCCTTCGGGTGCTTTGGAAAACAGGTTGACCCCCTCTTCTCTGTGGCAGCCCCACAAGTATTGGAAGACTGCAGTTATGTCTCCCCTAGTCCTTTCTTCACTAGACTAACCATGCTCAGTTCCTGTAACTGTTCTTTATATGTTTTAGTCTCCAGGCCTTTGATCATCTTAGACAGATTCAGATTAACAGAATTGGAAGGGACCTTGTAGGTCATCTAGTCCAACCACCCACCCAAGCAGGAATGCCTACACCATTTCTGACAGATGACAGTCCAGTCTTTTCTTGAAAGCTTCCAGTGATGAAGCTCCCACAACTTCCGAAAGCAACTCATGTGTATGAATGGTTAGGCTTTTTAGCACCAATGCTCATTATTTTACATTTGCTCAGATTGAATGTCACTGCCATTTTGATACCTAAAGGGCAGAGATCCCTTTGGAGCTCTTCACAGTCCCTTATTGTTTTTACTACTTTGAACAATTTAGTGATCTCAGCAAACTTGGCTATTCCACTACTCACACTAATTGCCAATCATTTCTAAACATGTTAAAAGCACCGATCCTAGGGCAGAACCCTGGGAGATCCTCCTAGCTATATCCTTCTATATATTCCTACTCTTTGTTTTCTATTCCTTCATCAGTTGCGTATCCACAAGAGGATCTGGCCTTTTATTCCATAGCTGATAAGATTACTGAGAAGTCTTTGATGAGGGACTTTATCAAAGGCTTTTGGAAAATCTAAGATGAAGTCTAATTACATACATTCCTACTCCACTTTCAAAATAGTGTTTTCCTGCTTCTGTTAGCTCAAGCCCTCTGTCCAGTTTACCCTTAAGTAAACCCTAGGAAGCATTGATTGGCTACTTTACAATGCAGCTCATTTTCCTGAATAAAGTCTGTTGTAATGGGGGGAGAAAGATAGATAGATAGATAGATAGATAGAGAGAGAGAGAGAGAGAGAGAGAGAGAGAGAGAGAGAGAGAGAGACTGACTTAATATGAGCACCATTTTATCATTTTAAATAGTACACCAGTGTTTGTTTGGGTTTTTTTAATTTAAAAACTTACCAGAAAAGTTGGTAGCTCAAGGTTTGGGGTTTTTTTTTAAAAGGTTTTGCAGGGTTTTCAACTGGGAACATTCTGCATGTTAGACAAGCATTAGGAGCACCGTGGTAAGAAAAAAGATCTGCTGCAACAGAGTTCTCTGTAGAAAAAAGGAAAAAAAAAACGTATTCAAGAAAGCAAGAAAAACGCTAGAAAAAATATTTTATTGTGGTGTGTGCATTTTAATGCTTAAACTCCACATAAAGTAACATAGATCCAAATATGTTCATATATATTTGCAGGTATGCATATAGTTACACAACAAACACAGGCATACTATACAGGCAGACACCCCAACGATGCCCTTGAAGTGATGTCCCAGTGCCTGGAGGCCGTACGGATCTGGATGGGGAGGAACAGGCTCAGGCTCAACCCATCCAAGACCGAGTGGCTGTGGTTTCCGACGTCCCGATATAGTCAGCTAATGCCATCGCTGACTATTGGGGGCGAATCATTGGCCCCCACGGATGGGGCTCGCAACTTGGGTGTCCTCCTGGATTCACGGCTGTCGTTAGAAGAGCATGTGACGGCCGTGTCCGGGAGGATTTTTCATCAGGTTCGCCTGATTCGCCAGTTGCGTCCCTATCTAGATCGGGACTCCCTACACACAGTCACTCATGCCCTCGTTACTTCTCGTCTGGATTACTGCAACGCTCTCTACATGGGGCTCCCCTTGAGGTGCACTCGGAGGCTCCAACTGGCGCAGAGTGCGGCCGCGCGGGTAGTGATGGGAGCGACATGGAGTTCCCATGTGACACCTCTCCTGCGCGAGCTGCACTGGCTCCCGGTGGTCTTCCGAGTGCGCTTCAAGGTTCTGGTTATCACCTTCAAAGCGCTCCATGGCTTAGGACCTGGTTATTTACGGGACCGCCTGCTACCACCAATAGCCTCCCACCGGCCAGTACGCTCCCATAGAGAGGGGCTCCTCCGGGTGCCGTCGGCCAAACAATGTCGGCTGTCGGCCCCTAGGGGGAGAGCCTTCTCTGTGGGGGCACCTACGATTTGGAACGAGCTCCCCCCGGAGATACGTAGGATCCCGGATCTGCGCACCTTCCGCCGCGCGCTTAAGACCTTTCTATTTTATCAAGCTGGCCTGGCCTAAATCTTCCCCCTTTTTAAATGTGGAAATTTTAAATTTTTAAATTTTAAATTCGTCTTTTTATAGGGGTATGGGTAAGGCATTTTAAATTGGGGAGCCATTTTAGATTTAATTCTGTTTTAAACGTATTTTTAATTGTTTATATTGTATGTTTTTAACTTTGGCTGTTCACCGCCCCGAGTCCTTCGGGAGAGGGGGCGGTATAAAAATCTAATAAATAAATAAATAAATAAAATGCACAATTGGAAATTGCTTTTCCAGAACAGGAAGATGAGATGGGCCACAGTGGCAGATTAAGGCTCACTGGTGCCCTAAGCACTGACAAATCTTGGTGCCCCCCTCCATTGTACATACTGTACAAAGGAAGCCAAGTTTAGGCTACATAAAACTTTGTGGTGCCCACTTTGGGCCTGGTGCCCTAAGCATGTGCTTAGTCTGCTTAATGGTTAATACACCACTGACGGCCCAACTGCAGAGGACGTATCCAGTGAAAAGATCTAGTAGCCTTTTGTCTGGACTGAAAACTTTACAAACTGCTGCCCAGGGATCTCCATCCACATCAGATTCTATCAAACCAGGTTAGATTCAAGCCAACAAGAGCCCAGGACAGGAGCAGCATAAAGATGCAGGCAGGAAAAACCTGCTTGAAGGACAGAAATGTTACCTTTGAATGTCTGAGCTGCCACTGAAAGTAGGGAAGGAGGAGGCTTGCCCACCCATTCATCAGGGTCTGATCTAATATCCTGTAATCTGGAGCAGAAGCATATTTAATAATGCTCGTTGGTTTTTCTTCTACAGCCAATGCAGCAGAATGATGTAATCGCAACAAAACAGCAACAGGGCTTATTTGTGGATCATGATTCCTACAATTTAATTTCTCACAACACAATTTTCCCTGAGGTGAAATTGGAAAGCTCTTATGAATCATCTTCATCCTGTGAGAACCAGGCCTATGTTACTAGAGAATCCTTAGGAATCCATGACCTACAGAATCACAACAGGAACTAATTGAGTATCTTCAAAACACACTGGTTCTGTTTCTCAGTTACTTAAGATTTAGTGCAACATTTTGTATTTTTTTTTCTATAATACATCTTGAACCTTGGTAAAGACAACCCAGCATGGCCTCTAACTACATTTTGCAAAGCCTTTGACAAATACATAAAGTTTAATTCAATATTGCTGGTTTTTTATTTTAATACAGCAATAACTCCAGCTTTATAAATCTCTTTGTTTATCTTGTGTACAGAGAACCAAAATGGATATGTCTTAATGTTATCTTCCTTTCTGCAAAGAGATTTTAATTTAATTTTGGGCTGTGTGGCATTTATTTTACCAGTTATGATTAAACGAATTCTTCAAGGGACACCAGAAAGGTAATTGAAGGTGACCCCTATAATCTCCTGGAAAGATTTACATATATGGCCTTCTATCCAGCTAAGATGTGAAATGCCATTGAATAAGATTAGAGAGGGTGTGTAGGCAGTGTCAATGTGACTTGCTATACGAGTGGATTTTTTTATATATATTTAAAAGACTGCAAATAAAGTAGGAAGCACGATATAATTTGGAGAAATGAGGATTAAAGATTCCCCACTCATGCTGTTTTTTACTGTACATATTGAGATAACAACATGGAATCATTCCAAACAAAAATAAAGCCTACATAGGAGACTAGACTGATGCAGATAAATCCCTACAGCTTCTTGTAATAAATGCAACGTTAGTGTCATGTTTGTGTGTGGCCGTAAATAGTTTTAGATTTCAAGTTGGTATAATCAGGAGAGATTGTTGCTTGATGCGCTGTGATGCACCAATAGCGTCAGTCCTGGAATACAAAGAGCCCCTGAGATAGAGGAGTCACCAAACCATCTCTCACTGCTTATCAACTTCTAATATATGAATTGTCAAAACTTCAGTGTGCGAGCTGCTCACCTGTGGTGCTGGCAGCTTTATTTTCTCAAAGATTACTTCAGCTTTGTGTAATTGGTAAGCATAAACCTTGCCAGTGCTGCTGTGCAAATAAAATAAAACTGACGAAGTTAGGAAGCCCAGTGGACAGTAACACAGAGTACCGTATGTATATAGGTGGCCTGATGCTTTTACCAGAGACAGACATGAGAAGAAGCTGTGATTGAGTTTATCCTTAAATTCCCCAGAATAGATGCTAAAGGTTATTTCTAGACTGTATAAATTCAGGCTGTAGGGACTGAATCTAATATTAGGTGAGCAAATGTCTGTTTATGCAATGGGACTTCTCCTCATTTTGTCTTCTTATTTGTCCCAGCACAAGCTCAAATTCTACATGGAGGAAGCTCACAGAGAGACATCACATGATTCTGCTCCAGGTATGTTGGGGAAGGGGAGGAAGAATGGAGAGGGAGGGAGGGAGGGAGGGAGGGAGGGAGGGAGGAAGGAAGGAAGGAAGGAAGGAAGGAAGGAAGGAAGGAAGGAAGGAAGGAAGGAAGGAAAAAAAATGGAAATCAGACACTTCCAAAGAAAATTCAGCTTGGCTTTCTTTCTCTTGAACATACTGAAATTCTATATGAATGCATTTATTTAATAAGTAAAACTCTACTATGTAGTTCAACAGAGCATACAAATTGAGCCTTGGAATGTTAACTGTTTGTGGAGTCCTTGGTGTTTTCTTTTTAGGTAAAGTTGGGTAATGAAATGTCTGCAAGCAAACAACCAAGTTCAGAGAGCACCAAGGACTTAGCAGTTCAACCCTGAGCTACATGTGTTTTTTGTTTTTGTTTTTTAATTTGATTTATATGCCGCCCTTCTCCGGAGACTCAGGGCGGCTTACAATGCGTTAAGCAATAGCCTTCATTCTTTTGTATATTTTATACAAAGTCAGCTTATTGCCCCCACAAACTGGGTCCTCATTTCACCTACCTTAGAAAGGATGGAAGGCTGAGTCAACCTTGAGCCTTGGAGAGATTCGAACCAGCAGAAATTGCAGGCAGCTGTGTTAATAACAGGGTGCACTAAACCCCTGTACTATCAAGGCTCTTTCTCTTCTATTATTAACCATTTGCCTCTCTCTTTTCCCCTTACTTTGTATGAGTTTCCCCAAAAGAAATGTTGTTTTGCTTTTTGAAGGACATTCTTTACACCTTACTTCAACCAGCATCCGAAAGTTCATACTTGACTATCCCATTGAAGTTTTAACACTCAAGCAGTATGGACCAATGTATATGCAAATAATATAAACATGGGTACTCTGTGTATATAATACGTGTCTATATGTTAGGAACATGCCTCATATAATTGACACAACAACCTTCCAATCTGGTGCCTATCTGAGAAACTGGATCTATATCACCAGACATTATGTCCATTAGTTTGTTCCTGCTTATGTAAATATGATTATATTGTCCAGCAGGGGGAAAAAGCCACTAAAATCATCTCTGGATGTTCTCCTGCACCTTTTCCATTTTTTATTTAGAACTGATTATAGTGGAAAAGTGCTCTAGTCACACAAGATCTAAAGTTCTATTAAATAATTTACAAAGCATGTGTATCTCTGCTGCCCAAGATAACCTTTATTTAATCAATGTTAATTTTGATGCTTTCATATTTATGCTATTATGCCATTGTAAGGTGGCCAGAGTCGCTCTGGATACTGAGACGTGTAGCATATAAATTTACTAAATAAATAAATAAACTGGGACTTGAAGCCAATTATATCAAAGATGGTTTATGTGCTCTACAGCAACTCTCAAAATTCAGGCGATATGACTGTTGGCCATATTTATCACGAATTTTGGGAGCTGCAATCCTAAAACACCTGGAAAGTACCATGCTAGAATGTAGATCTATGTCTTCCAATGAGCCCTTATTGCAATATTGAATGTGATCAGTGCATTTAAATCTTACTTGCAGGGTGAAGCTCCTATAAATGTTAGCAAGACCATCACCAGGTACCCAGATCCTGCGAAAGATCCTTTTCCAGGACAGAGAGCAGTTCTTTAACAATCTAGTGATGCCTTCCAGCTTGCCCAAGTCCAAGGCTTCCTAACTTTTATGATATGTAAAGTACTAGCTAGGCATAATCAATGGCAGCTGGGTAGGGTAGCTATGGAGTCTGATGTATTTACTGCAAGTGCTGCAAAGTCTGTGCATATTTATATGGCAATGAGCTGCTTCAGCATCCTGAATCATTCTCAGCAGTCACAGAAGAACAATTGAGAGTAGACTTATGCAGGCAAGTACAATTTTTAAGAGTTACTGCCATGGTAGCATTCGACAGGAATGCTTTTCCACTTCTATAACACAGGAAAGGAAACCATCAGCATTTTTAATCTTCAAAAAAAAATGAAGAGGAGGTGAACAGTCATTTGACCCTGCAAACAAATAAAAAAATATATGCCAGAATACAAAATAGACCACTAAAAAGCCATAACTCAAAAGAACTAAATACATTATCCTAAGAATGACCTCAAGTTGCAAAATTTAGACATAGCAAGAAAAACACTTGGAAACCTGCAGAGTAACAGTGAGCTACTTTGAGTCACTATCAACTAAACTGACCGTGGACTTTACAGTTGAAATGATGCACAAGTTCAATTTTAGAACCCACCCAGCAGAAACTGAGATACAATGAAAATTGATATATATATGTTCCATATGTAAAAATGCACATGAAGTTCATATAGTGAACAATCATTACAAGTTCTTTATCTTCTAAGGTATTTAAAATGAAAATGCATATTTTTTTTTTTCTGAAGAAAAGCTTCTATTGGCCATCATCCATTTATAATTAGTGAAAACCACTCATAAAATTTACCTTTATTGGATGGAATTCAAATGTAAACATACAAAGATGGAATGAAGCGAAGACTATCTGGTCAAAATTGAGTCCTACCAGATTTCTTTCCCAAGATTTCTATACATTTATGCATTAAACAAGAAACAGAACAGTTCTTCTGCCCAATAAGAAATGTTCTGTCTAACTGGAGATAGTAAGAAAGATAGACATATGTTTTGTTTTTGTTTTTTAAATGTTTTTAAAGGATATTTTATAATCTGTGGGATAATATTGATGTTTAGTACCAGATGTGCTGGCCAATTTTGCACAATTTAAAGTCCAGTCCACACAAGCCTAATATATGGTCCCTAAATTTTGTTCATCTAATTTTCATTTTTAATATGACCCAGAGCAAAAATAATTAAATGCACGATGAATGACTAATAAGGTAAGCCACACTATTTTAATTTAATTCAAACACAATGAGAACGAATTTAATTTTTGTTTTCATCCTGACCTTGCCCACTACTTTTTGGAGTGTGGCATTCAGCATTCTATTTAGAAGAGACCAAGTGTGGCTCTCGGTTTGAAAAAAAATAACTATCCTTGTGCTTAGCTGTAAATAATTTGTTAGTATAATTATAACCAAAATCTGAATTATTTTCATCTTCTATGCTTCTTGCTCGCATAAACTGAACAGGAGAATGCCTGAGCTATAAATATCTGTAGAGTTGAGTAACTAATGAATTTATGCAACTATTGCAATATTGTTATGACCCTTAATTCCTATAGTTAGTAGGGGGAGTTTATTACCAATTAGGATTTTTTTCATTAAATTCAGACGGGAAGGGATTGACACATCACATGACAATTCATTATTTATCATGCTTGAAGACAACTGTAATAAGATGTGGAAGATGGGTTTCATTTCCATGTTCTTGGGTGCATCTGCTATAACTCTTAACAGAGGTGATTCGACTTTAAGCCTTCCAAGCAGATTATAAGAGACTCAGTTGGTTCTGGTCTATTGTTTCTGTACTACATTCTTGATCATTAGCCACTCTAATATCATCCCATCATTTGGCTGGATTTATTTTGCATTAATTTAGTAGAGAATCCTTTCTACTTTGTCTACTCTAATAATTCTTTATATGGTCCTTTTAAATTAAAATGATTATATATTTAAAATAATTACTGTATTTCGTCCATTACCCTGTTCCATACTCTCTCCTTATGGAATACTTCCATGTCAACATGGAGAGTAGAAAACTGACCGGCTGCCTTTCCCTTGATCTTTAATCCTCTCTAATCTGTTCCGGGAATGCTAACATTTTCTATTTTGGTTCATTATCAAAATATATTCTTAGTGTAATTTGCAGTAATAAAATATATTGTGTTACTGAAATAAATGAAGTTTTTTTTAAAACTGTAATATTACTTTTATTTTTTATCCCACAAAAAGGATTAGCTGTGATGGACCAGTCACAAAGAGAAATTATCTTTATGAACATGATGTTGCTAAATGCTTCTCTGCATGACGTTGCTATCATCATGCAGAGAATGCCTATCTCATACTTCAACTAACATTAGGTCTTCTAGTCCAACCAAGGCAGGAAATCTTTGTTGTTGTTGTTAGTTGCAAAGTCGTGTCTGACCCATCGCGATCCCATGGACAACGTTCCCCCAGGCCTTCCTGTCCTCTACCATTCTCTGGAGTCCATTTAAGCTCACGCCTACTGCTTCAGTGACTCATCCAGCCACCTTGTTCTCTGTTGTCCCCTTCTTCTTTTGCCCTCAATCGTTCCCAGCATTAGGCTCTTCTCCAGTGAGTCCTTCCTCCTCCAAAGGTATATGAGTTTCATCTTCAGGATCTGGCCTTCTAAAGAGCAGTCAGGATTGATTTCCTCTAGGACTGACCAGTTTGATCGCCTTGCAGGCCAAGAGACTTGCAAGAGTCTTCTCCAGCACCATTGTTCAAAGGCCTCAATTCTTTGGTGTTCAGCCTTTCTTATGATCCAACTTTCACAGCCATACATTGCAACTGGGAAAACCATAGCCTTGACTATACGCACTTTTGTTGGCCTTGACTATATGCATTTGACTATATGCACTTTTGTTGGTCTTCTCTTCTCTTGAAAATCTCCAGTGATGGAGTACCTACACCTCAAGGAAGATCCTGTCTTGTTTGACCCCAAATTCGTTTAGATGTTAAAATAAAAATGAAAAAATCTCCCAGTAGAGTGGCTTTACTGGGTAGAAAAGAAAGAGGATCAAGAAGGGTAACAAGGGAGGAAGGTGCTGGTATATAGAGTGAGAGAGTCCCAGAGGCCATTTTGTACAACATTCCTCAATTATGGCAGTCTGTATTGCATTAGGATAGCCTGGTCCACATATTTGTAGTGGTGCCATGATGCTCTTGCAATGTGAATTTGAAAATTTGCTCATTCACAAAATGGATGTCAGATCAGGACATTCCTGTTCAGTGTCTTCTAATTTACTTTTTGTCTGGACAAAAAGGCTTATTTTCAACTAAAGGACTAGGTTGGAAATACCCTTCATTTAAAAAAAAAAAGAAAAGAAAAGAAAAGAATCAGG